AGACAGAAGGGGTTAAGCGTCCACTGCCACCGAGATTTAGCTGGAGAAACCCAGGCATCCCAGCCTAATCCCTGCATCCTTACATCGCATCCCTGCCTGCCTGGTACCGGGAGGAGGGATGGTGGTGGCCGTGGGTGATGGGCAGCCACTAATGCTCCTGTAATCTTCCAAATATTTGGAGGGATAACAATGGCAGGAGAGAGGATTTTAACGCTTTCCTGGGGATGTTGGCTCGGCCATTGCCGCACGGGGAGTTGATTCCCGGGCTCGCCATCCCTGGTGTGCTGCGTGTTTGGGGTGATGGAGTGGGGGGGTTAAGGCTGGATCCCGGCTCCGGTGCTGCTCCCTGTGAGGGGTGGGGTGGGTTTGGGGTCAGGGATCTTGACAAGTTGCAGAACGCTGGCGGCAAACATCTGCAAATCACCCCCCAGGGAACAGATGCTGCGGATAATCCAGCTCAGCCCCAGCAGATTAAAATGTGTGATGAGGGATGGGGAGAGGAAAAGAAGTGCCTGTTCCCCTCCTCCCTTTTCCTCTCGTTGCTCCTACTACACTCATCCCCGAGGCTTCAGGATTTGGTCCCGTGGGTCGAGCTGGGAGCTGCCCCCTCTTTGTCTCTCGCTCCCCGCAAAGAGCTCCAGACACCCCGTAACACCGAGCCCCGAGTAGTGTGAGATTGTGGGATGGTGACAGCCTGGAATTTCCAAAAAAAAAACCCAAAAAAAAATCCCCCAGAAGAGATCTGGGAAGCAGGCACCCACCTCCAGCAGGAAGGAGGGAAGCCGGCAGATGGGAACCCCCTGCAGACGTCTGCCAGGGAGATGATTACAGGCAGCGCAGCGCGCTCTCAAATATTTATTAGTTTGTCACCGCTGGGAGTTTTATTGCTGGTGTGATTGCGGGACTGGAAATCCCGGCTGTGCAGGGCTCCTTTCCTGCTTTCCCATGCAAAAACACCTCCCATGCCCCGCTGCTCCTGCGGTCACTGGGCCACGGTGTCACCTGGGCTGGGACGAGAGCCGCAGTGGCCTCTGGAGGTGATGGGGTTGCCCCACTGGGGCTTTTTTCGGGGTTGTTGTTGCTGGGCCATCAGGGCACGCAGCAGCAGTTGTTCCTGCACAAGCAGCCGCGTTTCTCCCCCCACCGTGTGTGGATTTTTTGGGGGAGCGCCGGCAGAGCGAGAGGTTTCCCATGCGGCGGGTGGCCGGGCGTCGGGAACAGGGATGAAAGGCTGGCTTGATGGCTTATGATAAATGTGCCCAGCATGGTTCTCCTCCCTTTTCTCATCCAAAGTCCCCGTTGTTGCTATGCCTTAATTCTTCCCCAGCGTGTTTAAATAGCAGCGACCGTTTCATGCTGGAGGAAAACGCCCTGCCCAGCTGCGAATGCTTTTTCCCAGCTAATTTCTAAATGGAAAAAAAAATCACCCTCCCCCTTGGTTTGCTCCCATCCCTGAGTCTGGGGAGTCTGTGGGGTTGGGGCTCCGTGGCATGGCCCCAGTTGTGAGTCTGCCATGAAAAACCCATCATCCTTTTCTCCTGTCTCCTGTTAGAGCTGCTTTTTAGGCCAGAAACAAAAGATCCCTCAGCTGTTGTGAGTTTGCAGGATTTTAACTTTCCCAGCATACTCCTTTGCCTAAAAGGTTCAGGTGTTTGGGGTTCAAGCCTCAAACCCAGCAGGATTTTGCAGCCACCAAAAGCCGATGTCGGATCTGGCTGGTGACACCATCCTATCCCCCACCCTCATCCCTGAACTCACTGCGCCCACGTGGAGGAGAACCGTGAAGGCCCAGAAGTTGTTTGGGCAGACCCCCTCTTGGAGCAGGGTCTGGATGGGATTTTTGGCACCACCAGCAGCATCTCAGCCCCAAAGCTTGTGCTGGGGGCTCCCACCGCAGCCTTCACCCTTCCCACTGCAGATGATCCCGGTGAGTCACAAATCCGGCATTTTCATCCCCAGCCGGCTGTGACTCATCCCCTCCCAGATCCTCTTGGGTGACCTAAAGTCTTGTTTAGAATCACCAAAGCGCTGATGAGGTGGGAGAAAACATATCCTTGGCCTTGGCTCTTGGAGAAGGAGCTCTCCTCCTGGCCTGTGGTTTAGGCTCAGGGCCATGTGTGCTTTGGGGTGTCACCTCCATAGGGGACAATCCTTCCAAAAACTCCTTAGGATACCCGTGCCCATTCCCAGCTGCCAGGCTCAGGTCTGGCTTTGCCACAGGGATGCAGAGAGCATGGTATCAGGGAGGTTTTCACACAAGCCCGTGAGTGAAGTTTTGTTGGCTGCCTCTGTTGCCAGTTCGATTATCTCCTGCCAGCCCCCTTTGCCAGGGAATTTAGAACCATGGCGTCAAAGCACTTTTTGAAATTTAAAAAAAAAAACCAAAAACAACCAAAAACGACCTAGAGGATGAAAAATTGAGGGGCAAATTAAAAAAGGGGCAGGGGAAAAATAAAAAAAAAGGGATATTTGCTGCTGTGACAGGTAAAAGGCTGCTCAGCAGGAGAGGGGAGCAGGAGCAGTGGCCTGAGGTGGTCACAGGGAGCAGTGTGGGATGGTTCAGGGTGGGGGTCACCCACCTTGGCATTCCCTGTCTCCCTGCCTGCCACAGGGCCTGGGAAAATTACAGGTCTGCAAATGAGACGGGGGAGGAAATAACCAGCAGCAGAGAGGTGGGGAAGAGCCAGCCAGAGAGAGAGAGAGAGAGAGAGAGAGAGAAATTAGCCCGGAGTTTAATTCATTGTTTCCAAAAGAGCAGTTAATGGATTATGACAAATGTCCTACTGCTCTCCCTTAGTGCTGTGTTAAATGGAAATGGAAAGTCAATTTTCCTAAATGGATTTTAAACGACTGACCTCGTGCATTTTTTTTTTTTTTTCCCTTCCCCTCACTGATTTTTGCTCAGGAGGAAGCTGGGTCATCTTGTTTTCTTGCTGCATCTGATTATATTTTTTTTTCTCTTCCTCCTCTTCCTCCTCCTCCTCGTAGCTTGGGATTCTGATGCTCTCTGTGCAGCACCGTTCCTTGCCAAGGGTGATGAAGGGAGTGGGCTCCTTTCTTTTCCCTGCCAGCTCTGGAGATGTTATCATGGGGCTGGGGATATTTACTGTTTTCCTGCACACTGCAGTGCCTGGAGTTGAGAATCACAGCTCTGGCTGGGGGAAGAGAGGAGGAGGAAAAGCTCATAACTCCTTTGAGTGTAAAGAAAAGCCTCGAGATGTGACCTGACTGCTAGTGAGATTCCCAGGAACAACAGGTTAAGCAGCAGCATCCCTGTGCACCTGTGTGGGGGTTTTTATTACTCCTGTGATATTTGGGGTTGATCTTAATGGGCTGGAAACAGGTCTCCTGCAGATGATGCTCAGCTTCAGTCAGAGCACCTTCCCAAGCTGCTGCTGCTGGGAATGAGCCACCCTGAGGCTCCCACTCCTAAGGGATAACGTTCCTGTGCGAGCACTGAGCTGCTGCACCCCTTTCCAAGATTTTTCTTCTTGCCTGGCCTCAGCAGACGTGACCTCCAGTTGTTTTTGCCTTTAGATGGCTTTTGAAAGCAAACAAGCTTTCAATCTGGACCTGCACAGCCCCCCCTTTTCTGCGACAGTGTGAATCCTGGTGGCACCTCTGGGGGTGATGTTCTCTGGAGGTGGCTGGGCTGGAAGCTCCCCTGTTGGGGGATGCTGAAATCCAGGTGTTGGCAGGGGGTGAGATCCCAAATGCAGCTCCAGTGAAGGTGTGGATATCTGAGATTTATGTGGCCAGCATTCCCAGCACAAGCCCTGCCAGCATTTTGCTTGGAGCATGCCCATGCATTCCTCATGTCTGGGAGGAGGAGGCTTGGGGTGGGGGACACCGGCTCCCTTTGGAGCCCCTCTGTGTCCCCATCACCATCCCTGGACCTGGATTTGTTTTGCTTTTCCCCTGGCAGCATCCTCTAGTGAGATCACTTTTGGGGTGTGGATGGGGGCCCGGTACCCAGGTGAAACAGGATTGATCCCACAGCTCTGCAGCTTACAGGGGTTTGCTTTGCTGGTTTTTGGGGAGCCCCCAGCCCTCTTTTTGCTTTTTTTGGGAGTGAGCAGGGGGGCTGGGGACATGGAGCACCTCCTGACCCTCTGGGTCCCCTGGCAGGGCTGGAGTACAGCGATGTGCTGCCCGACTCCTTCCCGTCGGCGCCGGCGGAGACGCTCCCACACTTCCTGCTGGAGCCACAGGACGCCTACATCGTGAAGAACAAGCCCGTGGAGCTCGTGTGCCGCGCCAACCCCGCCACGCAGATCTACTTCAAGTGCAACGGAGAGTGGGTCAACCAGAACGACCACGTCACCAAGGAGAGCCTGGATGAGGTCACCGGTGAGCAAAGCCACCCCAGCATCCCTCTGCCTTCCCGTCCCTCTGCCTTCCCATCCCTCTGCCTTCCCTTCCCAAGCCCTGTTCCCTCTTGCCACAGCCATGCCACTGATGGTTCTCCTGCAGGTGGACCTCCAGACCACCGGTGAAAGCACCACGATGGTGCTGTGGTCACCACACACCCCCTCCCAGAAGCTTGGGGAAGTCACCCTGACTGATTTCACGCTTACCCTGATGCAGGACTTGGGGTTTCTCAGAAGGGATTTTGAAGGTGGCATGATTAAGTCTGGTAAAAAAAAAAAATAAGGAAAGAAAGGGGTTGCTTCCCTGCAAAAAGCCTAATCAACATGTAGGAGTCATTGCCAGGAGGGGTGGCAAAGGCTGGCAGCTTATGCAGGAGGGATTAAGTGTTTAATGGGTAATGAGAGCAATTGCAGGTAGGATTTGAAATGCCTGTTGATGGCAAATGAGCCCTTTTCTGCCTCAGAGGAAAAGTCAGCCTCTGGCTGCCTGCAACGGGGTGAGAAGGTGGCTTAGGCATTCTAGGGGGAGATCTGACTCCATGGGATTGGGCTCTGCAGAGCTGCTTGGTCCATGCCTTGAAACATCCTGGCGTGAGAACAAGGTGTGGGGTTGAATATATCATGTAACCAAGTAGATCTGCTAAAATTGGGGTGGTTTAGCCCGGCACCCATCTTTTCTGCACCAGTTTTGGTGGCTGACCAGGAGTGGAGGAAAGTCACATTTTCCCTGTGAGGTCTGCCCTCTGCAAACCTCTGCGCACGTGGCATCCAGAGGGCTTTAAATCAAGGCAGCCTTTTGAACTGCAGTGGTGTTGGCCTTGGAAGGCAGGCTGGGCTTAGAGGAGGGACTTCACCAGCCTGAAGGAGCCACCAGGTTTTTGACAGAATCTCCTGCTGTCCCCATGATTTTTCCCCCAGCCTTGCCCTTCCCTGGTATCTCTTGCTCTCCACCCTGTAGTAGCCATGAGCCTGTCTGTGCTCTGGTGCATCCCTGAACCTGCTCTGCAAAGGGAAAATCCTTTCTTTCCTCTGCAGCTTTTTGAGCCTTTCCTGCTAAAGCTGCTTTAGCCATTCATGGGCTGTTTTTCCTCTAGAGGAAAAGTAGTCAGAGATGCCCAGGCAGGCTGTCCCTTTGCTTCTCTGGCAGCTGACATGGGCAGGGGACGCTCTGTTTCCCTCTTTCGGGGTGCATCTCCACCTCCCAGCTCTTGCAGAGGCCAGATTTGAAACCCTCACCACTGCAGGGCAGAGTCAGTGCTGGTCAGTGACCGAGCAGCCTTTGCCAAGGGGTTTTTCATTTATTTATAACATTTGGCCACGCTGGGTTGAGCCAAAGGTCTGTGTGCCCCGCACTCGGCAGTGGAGGCTGCTTAGGGGAAGATCATGGAACCAGGACAAGGAAGGAGCAATGGAGCTGCCCTGTCACCCTCCCAGCTTTCCACCACTCACAATCAGGGACTCCCAGCTCTGCTGGCAACATCTGAGCAGCGTGGTCCAGCTCTGGGTGGAATCCCCTCCTTGGTAATTTGTCTAATTTCTCTGGAGCATCCTGTAGGAGGGAGGTGGGTCTCATGCCTTGGTGATGTGCAGTGTGGATAGAAACACTCTATGTCATAGCCTCATGGAATGGTTTGGGTTGGAAGGGACCTTAAAAATGATCTAGTCCAACCCCCTGCCATGGGCAAGGGCACCCTACACTAGCCCAGGTTCTTCCAAGCCTGGCCTGGAACGCTCCCAGGGACGGGGCATCCATCTGGGCAAACTGCTGCTGTGGGAACTCATTTGCTTTGGTCCGGCATCTCCCTCTCAGTTTGGGAATTTGGGAAGGAAGCAGCACACACCTCCAGGCTTCAGAGATGGCATTGCTCCGCTATCAGGGAGCCAGCAGTGCCTGCAGGTGATGCTGTGCATGTAAAAGCTGCCAGTGTGGGCATCTCTTTCCTCTCCCTGAGGAAAACAGAGCTGGAACCAAAATGGTTTAATGTGCTGAAATAAATCTGCATTTGCAGCATTGTTCAGGAAAGCTGCTGGAAAGGTTAGAGCCGGGCACAAAGGCACGGGTTAACATGGTTAGTTTTTAAGTGTCCTTGGTTAAAAGCTTGGAAAAAGGGACCTTTAAGAAGAAGGGGAAGGAAAAAAAAAAACCAAGCAGAAACAAACCAGGAACTTTTAAGATGACGTGTCTTGAATGAGCCTGGCTCAGTAATGCTCTGACTGCGTCTGATCCAAAACATTTCATGCGGAAGAAAGCAAAAATAGGCCAAGTCAGAGAGGATAATTCAGCTGGGTGAAGAGGGCTGGGCAGGAAGAGTGGCTCTGTTTGGGTGCCTGCAAGCCCTTAGGAAGTCACTCCTGTGTGCCATGAGCTCGATCTTCAGTTTGGGGTAGTCGCTGCTTTCAGAGGGGACAGAGGTGTAGGATTTTTGCAGGATGCTTCCCACCTTTCCAAGGTGTGCTCATCCCACCAGAGCTTCCCAGACAGACAAGATGGATTGGAGCCATATCTCCATCCCGGGTCATTTTCAAATCCCTAAGTTTCCCAAAAGTGCTTGGCCCCCTTTGCTTTTGGGGTTTTCTTGTGGTTATGGATTTTTTTTTATTATTTTTACCTGAATAGTGACAAAATAAATTGTATTTCCTTGTCAGCTCTTCTGCAGGAAGGTGGCAGGGAGACAGTAATTGCTCCTCACAGCACTGGGAGTGAGCTGTAACAAAATTACAGCTGGGGAGCGTGCTGCTCTCGATCACTGTGAAATTGAGGCCTTTTTAAAATAGAAACTGAAAAGAAAAAGCCAAAACAGGCAGGTATTGCTTAAAATAAGGAAAAGTAAGCCCCGAGTCCGTCCTGCCCTTGGTGATGATCAGTGATGCTCCTGCAATCCAGGGGACCATGTCCTGGTTGTGGTGGTGTCACCTTTGTCATTGCCCCTCTGCCATGGCCAGGCCGTTATATTTAAGGTTTTATTTCTCTTGTTATATTCAAGTGGCAGAGATAGGGGTGGTTTCTCCCCACAGCAAAGCCTGGGAGAAGCATCCTTCAAACCCTGGAAAGGGATCTGGACAGGGATGCTGGCAGTGTGGGGGAGAGCTGGTGGAGGATGGTGATGCCTTGAGAAATGGTGAAGAGATTCCGGTCCTGCTCAGCTGGACTGGGGGGGAAAAAAGAGGCGCTTCCACCTGATCCATTTCCCTGGCTTCATCCCATTCTTCAGAGGGAACAGTCTCCCTGATTTGAGAGCTGCCATCCCCAGATGAGAAGCCTCCAACCCTCTGCCCTCCAGCTTTGCACGTGCACCGCCCCTCCCGGGTGCTGCCTCAGTTTCCCTGCTCCTGGCCGCTCATCTGACGCCGTGCCTCTGTCCCCGTTGCAGGGCTGCTGGTGCGGGAGGTGCAGATCGAGGTGTCCCGGCAGCAGGTGGAGGAGCTGTTTGGCCTGGAGGATTACTGGTGCCAGTGCGTGGCCTGGAGCTCGGCGGGCACCACCAAGAGCCGCCGGGCTTACGTCCGCATCGCCTGTGAGTGCCACTCCCGTCTCTGAAGGCTCGCTCCTTCTCCGCTTTCTGATCATATTTGGGGTGACCCATCCTTGCCTGGATGGCCTCGGTTTCCTCTCCCCACCCCAAATCCGCGGCTCTGTTTCGGAGCGTCACCGTCCCCACTGGCAGGGTTAACGCCGCATCGCCTGGCAGCGTGCTCAGCGCTTCCCAGGGTTTTATTATCCTTAACAACCCGATGGATGGCACCTTGAATCGGTGGCTCCGCGTCCTCCGGGTCCCTGCTGTCACGTGTCGCTGCCCTGAGCTGCTGTTTGGGGGTGGCAGCCTGATCAAAGGCCAGTTGGTTTTAATTCCGCCTGAATTTGCTTGGTTAGCAAACGAGGTGGTGGAGATACAGGAGGACAGCCAGGCTTCCCCGGTCCCAAAGAGGGATTTTGCTATTAGAGGGGTAATAATGCAACACTTTATCCAAAAGAGAGAGGGAAGGCTTTAGTCTGGGAAAATCACAGACTCAGAGTCATAGAACGACAGAAAGTTTTGGGTTGGAAGGGACCTTAAAACTCACCTCATTCCAGCCCCACCCTCTTCTAGACCAGCTTGCTCCAAACCCCCTCACGCCTGGCCTTGAGCACTTCCACGGCATTTTTTGGAGCGGAGGGCTCAGGAGCCGCATGGAGAAATCTGGGAGTTGTAGCAGAGGATTGCAGCACCATCTAGTGATGTCCCTGCTCCTTTCCAGGCTCTGGAGCAGGACACTGCTCTGTCCCCCACATCCCGAGGGGCTTTGCTGGGAGGGATGAAGAAATAGTGGATAAACTGAGGTTAGCCCCAAAAGGAAAAGACAGGATGGGGTATAAGCTTACAGTCACATGAAGGAGGAAATGTATCATCCTTGAGCACCATGTGCTGCCCCAAACCCATCCTGGAAAACATGGTTCTTCCTCCCAGGGCACGTTTTGCCCTGGCTGTGCCAGAGGGACTTCCTGACTTGAGGGTGCTTGGTGCTGAGATGCTCACCAAAGCTTTGGAGGCTGCTCTGTTGCTGCTGCAGGCTGGTGACTCCTGGCTTTTCCTTCCCCTGCCAGACCTACGGAAGAACTTTGATCAGGAGCCGCTGGGCAAGGAGGTCCCACTGGAGCATGAGGTGCTGCTGCAGTGTCGCCCACCCGAGGGGGTCCCACAGGCTGAGGTGAGCAGCTCTTGAAGGAATGCATGGTGGGGTATCCCATCCCATCCCATCCCATCCCATCCCATCCCATCCCATCCCATCCCATCTCCTGCCAGCTCTCATTCAGCACAATGGTTTATTTTGGGCAGCACCTGCTCAGCACACTTCTCCCACACTTCCTGAGGTGCCTCAGAGGGAGGATCTGACGAGGAGGCACCCAGTGAGTTGTCTGGGTGGAGAGGTCACCAGTGGGAGCTGCAGGCTAGGGAAATCAGTATGGATGGATTTTCCTACCATGGCAGTGGGCTCTCCTTGCCCACAGCTCCGTCAGCCGCTGGGAGCTGCGTGTTGGAGGGAGCCACAGTGTCTCATCCTTGGCCAAAACACCAGTAACATGCCCCAGTCGGTCTGGTTTGGCCCAGTTTTCAAGGAGAAATCAATCCAGTCTGGGGCAAGGTTGTCTTTTGGTCTTGGCCATGGTTTAACCTCCATCCCTTCCTGTCCTGCCAGGTGGAGTGGCTGAGGAACGAGGACGTCATCGATCCCACCCAGGACACAAACTTCCTGATCACCATCGATCACAACCTCATCATCAAGCAGGCCCGGCTGCTGGACACTGCTAATTACACCTGCATGGCCAAGAACATCGTGGCCAAGCGCCGGAGCACCACGGCCGCTGTCATCGTCTACGGTACCGGCCCGTGCTCCGGGAAGGGGACCTTTAGTGCTGGCTATGTCTCCAAGCCAAGGGGGAATATGGGAATTTCCTGGGAGTGGTAGGAGGGAATTAGTGCATTACATGAGGTGATAACCAGTATCTGCAGGACAGGAGCCCTAATGGCTTCCACAGGCAGTGAGGAGAGGTTTGGGGCGAAGGGGTGGAGGTGTTTCTGAGCGTTCTCGGCTGGGTAGGAGGGTGGATGGAGGTTGGATCCAGACTCTGGATTACTCTGACTCTCAAAGCAGCTGGAAAGCTGTATTTGTCTGAACTTTGCTATGAAATCAAAGATCTCCTCAGGGCCAGACGCAAAAATATTTGCCAAGTGGAAAAAGGACCAAAGCAGTCTTGAGCATCTCGGGCATGGGGTGGTGACACAAGAGGGAGTTTTGTGGTTTGCTGTTCACGAGGCTGAGCTGTAACAGGGGGTCACAGAAGGTGTAAGAACTCAAGGCTTAGCTCCAGTCTGAGGCTCAGCTGATGGATTTGTCTCCAGAATTAACTGTGCCCATCTCCTCTGCAGTGAATGGTGGCTGGTCCACCTGGTCGGAGTGGTCTCCTTGCAATAACCGCTGTGGCCGGGGCTGGCAGAAGCGCACCCGGACCTGCACCAACCCCGCGCCCCTGAACGGCGGCTCCTTCTGCGACGGGCAGCCCTTCCAGAAAATCACCTGCACCACCCTCTGCCCAGGTAAGGAGGGCTCAGAAACCACTGTACCCCAGGCTGCAGTGGGGATTGTTGGGATTGTTCAGCCTGGATGAGAGAAGGCTCTGAGGTGACCTCATTGCAGCCTACAAGAAACACGGAGAGAGATTATTTACAGGGGCCTGGAGTGACAGCACAACAGAGAATGGCTTTAAACAGAGGGCAGGATTAGATGGGATAGTGGGAAGAAATTCTTCCCTGTGAGGGCGGGGTGCCCAGAGAAGCTGTGTTTGCCCCTGGATCCCTGAAAGCGTCCAAGACCAGGCTGAACGGAGCTTGGAGCAACCTGGGGTAGTGGAAGGTGTCGCTGCCCATGGCAGGGGGTTGAAACAAGCTAGTCTTTAAGGAGTGCTGGGATGACACTCCCCAGAATAGCAGAACGCTTTACTGACACTGCCATGCTGCCTGCCCGCAGTGGACGGCGCGTGGACGGAGTGGAGCAAGTGGTCGGCGTGCAGCACCGAGTGCACCCACTGGCGCAGCCGCGAGTGCGCGGCCCCCGCGCCCCGCAACGGCGGCAAGGACTGCAGCGGGGTGCTGCTGGACTCCAAAAACTGCACCGACGGCCTCTGCCTACACAGTGAGTGTCCAGGAGCGTGGCTGCAGGCATGGGGATGTGCTGTAGGAGATGCTGTGGCGCTCCGGCGTTCGGCCACGCTTTGTTGGCTGTGCCTCCAAGCTGGTGGAGCAGCCGGTGCCGCCTGAGTTTTAAGTCGTGTCTTCAAAAAGGTGTTTTTGAGCAGGTTCTCCCCTTCTAGAGTTATTTCTTACCTGGAGGAAGATGTACTGGGGATTTGGGAGGGATCTAAATGTTCCACTGGCATTGAGACCCCTGTCCCCCCGCCATAGGTTTGGGGTCTCTGCTGAAATAAAGCTGGTTGTGGGTAGACAGGGAAACAGGAGGGGTTTCTCAGGCACACTGTGAAAACACCTTCCCTGGGTCACTGCTGGGAGTTCTGGAGGTGGTTTCTTGAGGAAATAAACCCATAATGGTGGTAGTGCTGCTGCTACCTGTGAGCAGGAGTGCTGAAGGCAGCCAGTGCTGCCACCTGCTGCTGTGTGACACCACTGTCCCCCTTACTGCTTGGGCATGGGGATGTCCTTGTCACCACGCTTCTACCTGGCTTTTGGAATGCCCCAGGGAATGATGCTGATCTCCCACACAACCCCCCTGGCCCCCACACCGGGCTGGCTTACCTCCCACTTTCTGTTTCATCTCATCCCCATCATCACCTTCACCTTTTTCTTTTCTAACTTTGTTTTTCCTAACAGATAAAAGAATTCTAAACGAGCCCAAAAGCCACCGTAAGTGCTCATTTCATGGCCATTATTTTTTGTTTTGTTTGTTCCTGTGTTTTTCTTCTGTTGAATCCACGGCAGGGGTTCCCTGGCAGCTGGGCCAAGGACAGGGTGGGAAGATGGAACAACTAAAGCCCGTTCCAAAACTCCTGTGGGCTCCTCAGGGTTGTCTCTGTTAGGATGTGAGGGTTGCTCACAGCTTCGTGAGCCTGAGCTGCACAAATTTAACGTTTCTGTGACCTTTGGTGCTCAGGTGAAGTTTGCACGAGCTGTGGCCCGGTGTCCTCCAAAGGTCTGAGGGCTTCACCTCCATCTCATTCTGTGGCATTGCTCTGGACTTCCTGCTCTTAAAAAACACCTTCTATCCTCTTGCCAGCCTTTCCAGCAGGCCCAGGGCACATCTTTCCGCCCATGCCTGAGTCAGTGGTGGGATTGGGGAGCGATGGTGGGTCTTGATGTGATTTTTTGCTGCCCCTTTTTTCACCTCTTTGTGTCTTTAATCCCTCTCAGTGCTGGAGGCCACGGGCGATGTGGCCCTGTACGCCGGGCTGGTGGTGGCCATTTTCGTCTTCATCGTGATCCTCATGGCCGTGGGGGTGGTGGTGTACCGGAGGAGACGCCGGGATTTCGACACGGACATCACGGACTCCTCAGCTGCTCTGACCGGAGGGTTCCACCCTGTCAACTTCAAGACATCCCGGCATGGTAAGAGCCATGAAGATCCTCACCAGCCTTAGGTCAAGCAGAAAGAAAGTCATAGGAGAGGGTGGATCCTCACTGGGATCCCGTTTTCTCAAGGGAATATACTGATTTTTGAAGGCTGAAGGCTCCATGGAGGTGCTGATGGTGGGAATCAGGGCAGCCTGGTCTAGTGGCAGGTGCCCCATGGCAGGGGTTTAGAACAAGGTGGTTTTGACGGTCCCATCCAACCCAAACCCTTCTGGGATGTCTTCCACTCGAGCAGTACTTTTCCATGCCCTCACTTCCACCGCTGTCTTCATCCCACCTTTGTTTCCTGGTCCGGCAGACAACCCTCAGCTGCTGCACCCTTCGATGCAGCCGGACCTGACGGCCAGCGCGGGCGTGTACCGCGGCCCCATGTACGCCCTGCAGGACTCCTCTGACAAGATCCCCATGACCAACTCGCCCCTGCTGGACCCCCTGCCCAGCCTCAAGATCAAGGTGTACAACTCCTCCACCGCCTCCTCCTCCTCGCCGGGGCTGCACGACGGCACGGACCTGCTGGGGGGAGGCCCCGCCACCAGCACCTACCCGGGGGATGCCGCCAGGGACGGCCACTTTGCCAACGTGCGGAGCAAAGGCCTGGGCTCCCAGCACCTCCTCAGCCTGCCCCGGGAGCACGGCTACAGCGCCAGCGGCACCTTTGGTTACCTGGGGGGAAGGCTCACCGTGCCGGGCACAGGTAGGCTGCAGGCTGGGGTGGGGTGGCTGCCGAGCCGTCAAGGAGTTGCTCTTGTCCCTGTGTGAGTGGCCTTTTGCTGTCCCAAACCTGGCTCGGGGTAGGAAGGCATAAAGTTCCTCAGCTGGATATCTCAGGCTGGAGGTTACAGCCTCCTTGGGCTTGCCTTGGTCTTTCCCTGCCATTGATCCAGGGCTTGCACCTTGCAAAAACACGCAAAGATTAGGATTTTCCTTCCTGGTGAAGGAAGAACATTGGCCTTGCTCATCCCTGCAATCAGTGCAGAGAATCCCAGAGAAGCTGTGGCTGCCCCTTCCCCAGGAGCATCCAAGGCCAAGATGGACAAGGCTTGGAGCAGCCTGGGATAGTGGAAGGTGTTCCTGCCCAAGGCAGGGGTGCTGGGACTGGGTGACCTTCAGGGCCCCTTCCAACCCAAAGCATTCCATGCTTCTGTGGTCTGGAGGTGTTCCTCTCTGCGCTGCCCTGCTCTCCTTGTGCTCTCTGGCTGGGTTGAAGGGTGGTTTCTCCCTCATCCCCCGCTCTGCCTGTGACTGACACCCATGTGTGCCGTTCCAGGGGTGAGCCTGCTGGTGCCCCACGGGGCCATCCCCCAGGGGAAGTTCTACGAGATGTACCTGGTGCTCAACAAGGCTGAGACCGCCCTGTAAGTCACCCCCCTGGCCACCCGCCCCTTGCTGGCCACCACGGAGTTCCCTGCCCAACCTGTGTCCCCCTGTCCCTCCCCAGGCTGCCCTCTGAGGGCACACAGACAGTGCTGAGCCCGGCAGTGACCTGTGGGCCTACGGGCCTGCTCCTGTGCCGCCCTGTCGTCCTGACCATTCCCCACTGCGCCGACGTCGGCTCCTCGGATTGGATCTACCAGCTGAAAACACAGTCCCACCAGGGAAACTGGGAGGTAAGGGGGGAGCCCAGGCCCTGCAGCCAGCAGAGGGGCACAACCCCTTGGAGGACGGGCTGACCCCTCAATCTTGATGTCTCTGTAGGAGGTTGTGACCCTGGATGAGGAGACCCTCAACACTCCCTGCTACTGCCAGCTGGAAGCCAAGTCCTGCCACATTTTGCTGGACCAGCTTGGCACCTACGTCTTTGTGGGGGAGTCCTACTCCAGGTCAGCCATCAAGAGGCTCCAGCTGGCCATCTTTGCCCCCACCGTCTGCACCTCCCTGGAGTACAGCCTCAAGGTCTACTGCCTGGAGGACACGCCAGATGCTCTGAAGGTAAAGATCCCCTTCCCAAAGCTGTTTGTGCTGGCAGCAGGATGCTGCCTGGTGCCTCTCAGGACGGCCTGGCCCTGGGGAGCAGACAACCTGATGCAACTGCCTGCAAAGTGACCACAGTGAAATAATGAGGTGTTTACTGCTTTGCCTGTCCTTCCTCGTCCTCTGCCAAGGAAATAGGGAGGGTGCTGCGTAGCTCTCCTGCAGGCATTACACGAGAGGTTTGGCTGCTGATGGGTGGGTTTTTTTATGGATCCTGTTATTCCTGCAGGGATCCATGTCTCTCCCTGCCCTGGAAGGGTTTTGTGGCATAGATAACATCCAGTGCATCACGGGAAGCTGGAGTTCAAATGCTTTGGCTACCTGGGCCCACCACCGCTGGGGCTGTTTGATTCCCTGTGATCATAGGTCCAGTGGATCCTGTTGGGATTGATGTGGTGCCTCTAGGTGGAGATGTAGGCAGGGCTCTGGCTCTTGGCTTGTCTTTTTCTCCTAAAAGCTGCTGGTGTGATGAAGGGATGGTGTTAAAAGCAGAGGGAGTGGCACCCTTCAAGGGAGTGCCTGAGCCTTGTGTTGGAGCTTTGTGCTCTCCAAGGGGTATGGAGCCACTGATGGACGCTCACTTCAGGAAATCCAAGTTTTAGGTGGGGCTGGTGTATGAGATGAGCTGGCAAGTTCTGCTGGGGTGGCCAAAAGCTGTTCTCCATGGGCTTGAGGCTGCTGCTGGCTCTTCTTGGCAACCCCTCTCCCCGCTCCATCCTGCCTTTGTGCGTGGAGGTGAGCAGAGGAGCAACCCCTGCCCTTCTCCTGGGACTCACCCTACCTGTCCTGCTGCCCACAGGAGGTGCTGGAGCTGGAAAGGACATTGGGAGGGTACCTGCTGGAGGAGCCCAAGCCCTTGCCCTTCAAGGACAGCTACCACAACCTGCGCCTCTCCATCCACGACATCCCCCACGCGCTGTGGAGGAGCAAGCTGCTGGCCAAGTACCAGGTGAGGGGCTGACATGGGGGCAACTGGGCTTCCAGACTTGGGAGCACCATCTCCAGCCAGGCACCACAGGGCTGTGGGTGTCCTGGGCCCGTCTCCTGAGCTGTCTCCCAAAGGGACAGAGGAGGAAGGGGACAGGTTTTCCAGTCTTTTCGGTGGGATGTTCTCTGTGAGCTCCTGCTGTCCCTTCCCATCCCTCATGGGGCGGCTGGAGGAGGTGGGAGCTGCTGGAGCCTTGGCTGAGCCCGTGCTTTGGTGGCCCACAGGAAATCCCCTTCTACCACATCTGGAGCGGCAGCCAGCGAGCGCTGCACTGCACCTTCACGCTGGAGAGGTACAGCCAGGCCTCCACCGAGCTCACCTGCAAGATCTGCGTCCGGCAGGTGGAAGGGGAAGGGCAGATCTTCCAGCTCCACGTCACGATGGGAGAGGTGAGCGGAGGGGAGGTGGCAGGGCAGCAGGGGACACTCTCGAACGTCTCAGCAAGGTCTCACCCTGTCCTTCCTCTTCCAGCATGGCAGCTCCTCCGACACCCTCCGCTCCCACCACAGCGGGGCCACCACAACCACCACCACCACCCAGGTGGGACCCTACGCCTTCAAAATCCCCCTCTCCATCCGGCAGAAGATCTGCAACAGCCTGGATGCTCCCAACTCCAGGGGAAACGACTGGAGACTTCTTGCCCAGAAGCTTTCCATGGACCGGTGGGTCTCCCCAGGCTTTGCTTTCCCTTCCTGTGCCCCCGACAGGAAGGCTTCACTCTGTGCTCCCTCTCAGCTGTAGACATCCAGTGGGGCTGTGTCCAGCTGTATATCCCCATAAATGGGGATAGAGCTCTGCATAGTTATATCCCTCTCTATCCTTGGATATGATTTTAAACTAAAAGAGGAGAGGTTTAGGTGAGATATGGGGAAGAAATTCTTCCTCTGGGGTTGGTGAGGCCCTGGCACAGGGTGCCCAGAGAAGCTGTGGCTGCCCCTGGATCCCTGGAAGTGTCCAAGGCCAGGTTGGGCGGGGTTTGGAGCAGCCTGGGATAGTGGAAGGTGTCCCTGTCCACGGCAGATTTTGGAACTGGATGATCCCGCAGGTTCCTTCTAACCCGAACAATTCTGGCATCCATCTGTGCCACCCTCCCGCATCTCCTGTCACTTCGAATGGCCATTATTTATCTGGGACAATGGCTGTGCCACTCCCACCTGGTTTCACACCAGGACCAAAGGGAGAAAGGGTAATTTCAGCAAAGCCAAGCTGACATTGCTTCTGCACGAATACCAGCTCTGTCTAAAAATTGCAGGTGGTCTCTCGGGGGCTTTGGCATTTGTGTTACAGCATTCCCATCAAAGTTCACGTTCCAGATAGGTTTGCTGCTCCAGCATCCTCCCTCCTGCCGTCTCCAAAGGGCACCACAGCAGCCCAACCCTCTTCTGCTTCTCCCTTTCAGGTATCTGAACTACTTTGCCACCAAAGCCAGCCCCACCGGCGTGCTCCTGGACTTGTGGGAAGCCGAGCACCAGGACGACGGCGATCTCAACACCCTGGCCAGTGCCTTAGAGGAGATGGGCAAGAGCGAGATGCTGGTGGTCATGGCCACAGAGGGGGACTGCTGATGGTGCTCCCCACGCCTGGGGGGCCGGGAGGACGAAGCAGGGGGTGAGGAAGGGTCCTCCCCCGATGGCAGGGGGAGGCAGATCCGCCCTGAGCGGGGAGGGGCCGAGGCCGGCGCTTCTCCCGCATCACTGTCAGCCTTAGAGACCCATCCTCAGCGTTTACAAGCAATTCAAGTGTTAAACAGCATTCCTCCTCAAGGCACGGGGAGGAATTAGGGCTTCTCGAGTTGGGATGGGGGCTTTCCTTTTCCTTCTTCTTTTTGGGTTCCCTTCCTCCTCCTGTAATTGCATTTCTGCGTTGAAGAGACGAATACAATCCAGGCTTAACTTCTGTCAAAGGCTTCAGGCAGCTTAACGAGGCAAATAGGAAAGAAAAAAAAAGTTAAAAAAAAAAAAAGTTTCTTAGGAAACGCAAATAATTTATTATCCAGATCTTTGTTTTTAAAAAAAAAAAAAAAAAAGAAAAAAAAAAAAGACAGATTTATAAATCTTTTTTTTTTTTTCAGTGTGTGAGAGCAAGAGCGTCATTGTGGTCAGGGTGGCAGAGAGAGAGATTTCAATGGACGCACTTTTGTAAGGAAAAGCGTGTGATCCGAGTTGAGAAAAATGTGTTTACATGTCCTGGGACCCCTAGGGAGTCTGGAGGGTGAAGTGCCTCTCCTCCCCTCTGGTTCAGGGCCAGCTCAGACCCTTCCCAAGGCTTTTGTCCTTGCAAGCTCCCTTTTCCCTTCAGAAGGAATGATGGGTCCCACTCCGCCTGCAAGGAGGGATGAGGGATGCTGCCCTCTGTTTAGGGTTCAGGGTGGGGAGAGTGCATCCAGATGTGGGTATTTGTAATGAATTCTCCCCTGGCATGGTTTGGGGGAGCTTTTTAGGATGACTACGCCTTCATTTACATAACTTCAGTACAAACCAAAGATTTCAGTCCTGCGCCAACCTCCAGACTCGAGGCTAAAGGGGGAGATGTTGTAAACCCAGTAGGATTTTGCGGTGAGCACCCCCAAACCTGGGCTTGGGGGTCAGAGGGAGGCGATGAGAGGGTGTGGAGGGGTCAGAGGAGAGCAGAGGCTGGGATGTGGCCAGGCCTCCGCTTCAGGTCCCTGCACTCCTGCCTGGATTTTGATGCAGCGTTTCAGCACGGATTCAGGGAGGTGTCCCTGAATGTCCTCTGGTGTCCCCAGGCTGCGAGCCAGGCTGAGCATTTTCACACGAGGTGATGGCAGTGTGTGAGCAGTGCTCAGCCTTCCATCCCTCACTGCAGCTCCTCTTTTTCCTTGGAATAGGCTTTCTGTAGCAATGGAGAAGCTGTGGGGTGAATGGAAAGCAATCGAGTGGTAGGCAGGAACGAGGTTCCTCACACCAGATACGGTGTCACGATGAAGGTAAAAAATTTAGGTTGCCTGCAGGTAGAAATAGTTACTCACTGAGTGCTGTATCTTAGAAATGTGTCTGTTTTAAAAAAAATAAAATAATGAAATAGGAAGGGGGTGGTAAGCTCAGGATTAGACTAGGTCACACAGCCAGGCTGTGGATTCTCCATCAGTGGAAGTATTAGGAGCATGTCCTGCTCTGGGCTGCAGAGCCCTGGATCAGCGTCATGGAATGCCTGTGGCACCCCACAAAATGCTGGGCACAGGAGCACACTCAGGGAGCCTGGAGAGCATCACCTGCTCCGGGCAGCTCAGGAGGAGCTTTCAGTATTGCTGGGACATGACAGGATTCCTCTGGGCAGCTCCTGAGGCACCGATGGAAAGCACGGAGCTGCTGCCTGCTGTGTCTCGGGGTCCCTGGGGCTCACTTCTTGCTGGGTTTTCAAGGCTGTGGGAGGGAAGGGAACTTTTCCCCTTGTGCTGGATGGGGAAAACTGCTGCTGGGTGAGCTCCTGTGTCACGTGGGAAGGGCCTTATCCAACTTTTGGGTTGAATTTGACCATTTCCGAGACCCTCTGAGCTAAGGAAGAATAAGCAAATTTGGAGAGCAATTAAGACTTGATGGATCAAGCCAGCTGCCCGTGGTCTCGAGGGCTCCTTTCCCAGTTCCATGGTGTTCTCTGAGGGATGAGATGCTCTTTCAGGTCACCTGGGAATCTCTCGCTCCCATTCTTTGGTTTATGGATCACTGCACCGGGATGTGGGTCTGTCCATCCATCCATCCCTCCGTCCTGCCCGCGGGTGCCTCTCTCCATCTCCATCTGTGTTCATCTTCCCCTTCCTTTGGGCAGGCAGCAGCCACATGGCTGGGCTGAAGTGCATGTTTGGGGAGATTCTCCCCGTTTTTCTGACCAGGGAACCTGCAGCAGGAGCGGGCCAGGGGGGATGCAGGGCTTGTCTCCAGCTCCCAGGAGCCCTCCACACCTCCCTCCACACCGGGGGTTTCTCCAGCCAGGCATTTTGGCAAAGGCAGTCCCTGTGGTCCGTGTCATGCTGGCAGTGTCCATCTCTCCCTCCAAAATGTGTTTCCATATTTATATGTCCAGGGGATGGGCCCGGTGGCGTCCTCTAAACCCGCGTCTGTTCATTCTGTAAACTAAAGAACTGTAAATAAAGTTTAGCATTCCTATTGTAACAAATTAATTTTTATGCAATAAATTATATTTCCTAGTCTAATAAAAAAAAAAAAGAAAAAAAAAGGAAGGAAACAATCTGCTATCTCTCCTGTTCATCACTCACTGGTTCCTGCTGCATTTGGCATCTGCAGGGATTTGGGATCCCTGGGAGCATCCCTCCAACCTGCTGTGGGCTCCACTGCCACGGGAGGATGTTGCTCTTGGAGTCCCTGATGGAATTAATCTGGAGATTGACTGATGGTTTGTTTTGGGCTCACATGGGTGCTTCCAAGGCCAGGAGATGATGGCTACAGCTGCGGCCCGTGGGCTAAGCCCCCCTCTCAAGCAGTTCATTCCCTTTCCCAAGGGATATCCTACAGAAAGCAATGCCCCTTCCAGCAAAGACCGGCATTGGGGGGGATAATTTGGGTGGGGGGAATGGAGCACGGAGATGCAAGTGGAGCCTCCCTGTCCTCCAGCATCCCACCTCGCTTCCTCCCCTGCCTGGGGATCGCAGCTGCTCTCCTGCTTCAGTCCCAGCGAGGGAACGAAGCCAGAAGGGTTTGCAGGGATGTTCCAGGAGCCCACTGCCCCTCCCTGGGCCACTCAACCTCGTCCGGCTGGCGGGGACCAGTTTCCACCAGGAGATGGCAACATTGTCCGTGCTCTGGGCAGGAGTGGGAATTCTGCAAGCAGCGAGGAAAAAAGGGGATGAAATTGTTGCCCTGCCACCGCAATGGTTGTACCAAATATAATAATATAATATACACATTATATAATATATAATAATATAATATATAATATAATATATAATTATATATATTGCTATAATTATTATTATATAAAAATATATTTTGCTTTATATATTATGCTATAAGATATAATAATATAATATACACATTGTGTATATTATTATACCAAATATACACATTATGTGCCCAACCACAATACACACTATGCGCCAATAACCACAATACACATTGTGCCAATAATATAATATATAATATAATATAATATATAATTTTATATATTTTGCTATCGTTATTATTATATAAAAATATATTTTGCTTTATATATTATCCTATAATATAATATATAATATATCATAATATAATATACATATTATGTATATTATTGTACCAAATATACACATTATGTACCCAACCTTCCCAGCTGGGCCTTCCAGCTCCGGACAGGATGCTGGGGTAGATGCCTCCTCAGAGGGATAACCTTTTCTAAGAGTCCCAGAATGGTTTGGAAGGGATGTTACAGACACTCTTGTTCCACCCCCCTGCCATGGACAGGGAAATTTCCCATTAGACCAGTTGTTCCAGCCTGGCCTTGGACACTTCCAGGGATCCAGGGGCAGCCACAGCTTCTCTGGGCAGCCTGTGCCAGGGTCTCACCACCCTCACAATTGCTTCCAAATATCCAGTATATATGTGCCCTTTTGTCAGTTTAAAGCCAATCCTGCTTGTCCCTTTCTTTACATCTGAATTCCTTTAGCCTCCACTTCCCACTTTGCTTTCCCTGATTGCACTTTTTGCACTAAGCCAACTCTCCAAGGGATATCAAGAGGATGACTTTGACCAGCTGGTGCCAAATTCCACCTTTTGTTCTCCTGTTGAAACACCCACTTTTCTAATTCCCCTTAGAATTCAGCACATCGATCTCAGCCCCCCTGACGGGCTCAAAACCAGCAGCCATCCCGTGAAACACTGTCAGGTTTATTCTGTGGGAGAGAAGACACCCAGCAGCAGCACAGGGGTGTCCCTCAACCTGCCCCCAGCCCCTGTGGGGGCTGTGTCACTGCAGAGGTCTCTGGAGTGTGGGGCAATGATGTTTTCCCTCACAGTCACACCGTGCCCTCAAGGTGAGTGTCACAGTGTCCTTCGGAGGGAATCAAGGACTTCACAGTGGAACTCGTGCTGGTGAGGCATTGCGGGGGGCACAGGGAGTAAAGGAGGAGCTCTTATCCCATCCTGCAGAAGATGCTCCCCAGTCCCCACCCTCCCATCCTCAGGAGGTGGTGTTTTGGTGACTTCTGACAAAACTGAGCCCAGGCATAAGTTTTTATTACTGCTGTGTGGTAAGCCAGGCTGTGATTAACACTGATTTTCACAGAATCATGGAACGATTTGGGTTAGAAGGAGATGCCTTTTGGACCATCTTGTTGTTTCCCTGTGCCATGGGCAGAGACACCTCCCAGTAGACCAGGCTGCTGGGATGCCCATCCAGCTTGGGTTTGGACACTTCCAGGGATGGTGCAGCCACAGCTTCTCTGGGCAACCTCTGCCAGGGCCTCTCTGCCCTCACAGGGTAGAATTCCTTTCCAGTATCCCATTTATCCCTGCTCCCCGGCAGTGGGAAGCCATCCCCTGTGTCCTGTCCCTCCATCCCTTGTCCCTCTCCAGCTCTCCTGGAGCCCCTTTAGGGCCTGGCAGGGCTCTGAGATCTCCCTGGAGCCTTCCCTTCTGCAGGTGAACCCCCATTTCTCCCAGCCTGCCTCCATCAGGGGGTTTCCAGCCCTCAGAGAACCTCCAGGGCACAATTTGGGGAGGTGGGCGTGGCCTGGAGGGGCGTGCCCGCCACTGAGGGGGCGTGGCCAGCATTGAAGGGCGTGGCCACTCAGCTCCTGCCCGTCTTTTCCCGTGGGGGCGTGGTCAGTACCGAGGGCGTGGCTATGAGCTGAGTGGGCGTGGCCTGCCCATTAAAGGCGGGCGGGGCGGGGCCGGGGGCCGTGAGNGGAGGGAGGGAGGGAGGGAGGGAGGCGGCGCTTCCCGCTCCTGAAATTCCCCGTTTGTTCGCAAAATCCGCGCTTTCCGGCATTTCCGCCTCCCCCGCGCTCTGCCCGGCCCCTCTGGGCGGGGGTCGGCTCCGAGGCCGCCGGTGGGTCCCGGTGCCCCTGGCCAGGCTCCGGCGTTGTTCACAGGTGGTTTTCCTGCGGCACGTGATGCCGTGGGGCTCTGTGAGTCATTTTCCACGGCCGGGTGACGCCTCGGTGGGGCCGGGAGCCGCTCCGCCAAGCCCGGCCGATGCTGTGGTAATTTACACGTCGTTTCGGAAAGGCCGGCGGTGTCACTACGAGTTTACGCCTTGCTCTGCGGGGCTCGACGGCGCTGTTGGTTTGGCAGCTGTCGAGGTTGTTTTCTTGTTTTTAGTTTTTTTTTGGTTTTTTTTTTTTTTGTGTTAAGAGAGGTTTCTTACTCCTGCAAGTCCAAGGGGACAGGTTAATTATTAATTATGGACGGAGGTGTGGGTGGAACCTGCTGAGTCTCAGTGTTTTTCCCCATGCCTTTCCATCGCTGGCTCACTCCTCCCGTATTTGGCTGCTTGAGGCCCTGGCACAAGGTGCCCAGAGCAGCTGTGGCTGCCCCTGGATCCCTGGAAGTGTCCCAGGCCAGGTTGGACAGGGCTTGGAGCCACCTGGGATAGTGGAAGGTATCCCTGCCCATGGCAGGGAGGTTGGAGTGAGATGGGCTTGGAGGTCCCTTCCAGCCCAAACCACTCCATGATTTGCTGGCGCCAAAGGGGGATGGAGCCACAGCTTGTGAGCAGCACTTTTGGAGCCCTGGTGTGTCAATATCCTTGTGGGCGGTTGTTTTTCCCAGCGTGCCAACACGATGATCCCGGCAGCCGGCAGCTTTCCCCCGGACCAGGAGCCCCTGCTGGAGGAGCCCGTGGGGAGCAGGTACAGCCGGCAGAAGCCAAGGGACCGCTGGCATGGGGCCTACATTATATTTTTTCTCCTGGGCATCGGGTCCCTCCTGCCCTGGAATTTCTTCATCACGGCCAAACACTACTGGAGGTACAAGCTGCAGAACTGCTCGGATGAGCCGGGCCCGGTGGGGCAGGCGGCCTCAGACCTGCGGGTGAGTGGTGCTTTTGGGGCAGGAAAAATAACCTGTTTTCCTTCCTT